TGTATAAATGGGTACTGGCAAATTTAATGCTGGGGGTCACCCTGCAATGGACTAGCATCCCATCCAGGGGGAATAGTCCTAGTTGTTTCATGCTACAGAAACCAGAGATAAGCGCTGGTCTGATGGGCCACTTGGCTTGTATGCAGACTTTACTTCTAACATCCAACCCAGGCTTCTGTTGGAGTAATTTTTGGATAATCCTAATCATGAAGTAAATCCTTAGTGACAGCAGTCACGATGTTTGTCTCAACAGCATTTGTTAAACTATATCTGGGTCTGTTATCATTTTTTTGTTTCTGTTTTACAGATTTGTTGCAATGATTGACAACTCATCATTTGAGAACACGTCAGAGCTATACAGTACCACGATGAAAGCTGATCAGCGTCACTCCCTGGAGGGCATGATGGGGATGGGTGTGGCCTCAACATTTCACGCTATTCTGATGCAGAGCTCGCCCAAGATTTTCAGGTGAAGTTCTTTTGTGCAATCAGAATAACTAGTCTTATGATTTCCAGCTGATTTTGTTTCCAAGGAAATTTCATTAGCCAGAATTTGAAATGTGGGCATCCATGCAAATGCTCTGTTTGGGATAAGGTACAACCCTTCTTGAAGAGTCCTGGGGCAAAATTTAAGCTTTTTAAAACATTCAAAATTTACCTGAGTAACTGCGTACACTGTACTCTCGATCCAATGCTTGGCTTGTTGTTTGTTGGGGAACATTCGTCTCTTTGTCGTTTTGCAAGTTTACAGACTTCGCCTTCGTCCATAACTCCACGAACATTTCCGCTATATGGACCTCACGTTCAGTGTCATATATTCACTCAGTGTGCATGTATTTATTTTTTGTTTTTTCAGTGTGCCCTTGATCAGCTGTTTGCGTTTTGTACCAACAAAGTACTTGAAGCAAAGGTGGCAGGAAAGATGGCAGCAGACATGTGCCGGGCGGCTGCTAGGGTGAGTTTGAAAAAAATTGATGTTACGAAAAAAATTCATGTTACGTTTGTAATTCGCGAAAATGCGAATTACTTTTGACACTCAAGTGACAACCGCTCTGTTACATGGCAAGTAAACCCTGATCAGTTAATTGGTGCCTGCAGTTGTAGGGGATGTGTCTTCTGTATTATGGACTCTTCAATTAATGTGCGTGTTGAATTACGTTTGCCCCTTAGGAAATCTTGTGTTTTCCTCTGCTTCATTTTTTATGTTTTATTTTTTTCAGACAAATGCCACAGCTACTGTCAAGAAGTTTGTACCTCACTGTTGTTCTGTT